CCCGCCCCCCCCCATCCCTCTCTCCCGCCTTCCCCGTCACTCCGCCTACCTCCTCCCGGCCTCCTCCTGCCTACCGAGGAGACGCGGCTCGGGAGACAGGCGCGATGGCTGCTACCTGCAGCGCCGGCCGCACCTCCTCCCCAGGGAATCCAAGCATCCCTCACTCCTGCCTCACCTGACCAGGCCCAGTGTCCCCTCGGATAGCCATCCTGGGCTCTCCCTCCTTCTCCCCTGGTCTCCTCTCCCACTGACCCCTGCTTTCCCTAGGCCCTCTTTTCTTTCTAGCCCTTCTCTGCCTCCCACTTGGAGGCCGAGCGAGTGTTTGGTACCCAACTGGGAAGCAGGGGGGGAGGGGGACTTGCGGGGTGCGGTGGACTTCTGGCGTCCAGAATGGCTGGGGCCTTCAGCGGACCGGGAAGGAGGGACATTTACTTCTCAGTGTTCCGTAGCCCTTTGCCCTGAGGTACTGCCCTATCACTCCCCCCCCCAGGGGTCAGTGCTCCCCAAGGGTACAATCTTGGAGGCTGGAGGTCAGAGCATGTGCCCTATTGGTGACAGGTTTCTGTGGGTCTTGGAAGTGTGCAAAGGGAGATCTTAGCAGGCTGGGGAACAACGGTACACAGTGTCAGCAACGTAGAGAAGACAGCTCTGTGATGAGCACCCCTACCCTGTCGTTGATCTAGGGGTGGGCAGAGCATATGACCTGCACAGATTGGGGCAGGAATAGGGTAAGGCTGCCCCCTGGTGCCTACCAGGTGCACAGACCCTTCCCCAAAAGCCTCCACTGGAAGACCCCAGATCCCCCCACCAGCCCTGCTCTCCTTCCTCTTCAAAGATCACTAGGTCTGGCAACAAGAGTAAGATCACCCCGGCTGCCTCTGCGTGCCCCCTGCCAGCGGAGTGGTGCGTTGCTTATTTTCCAGCCCGGACACTGGCCACTTGTGCAGTGGGGAAGGAAGGGAAGAGTCCAGGCTGGAAGGAAAGATGTGCCCAGCTCAATTCAGGCCTCCCCGATCTGATCATAGACAGGCAGTCCCCAGATGGCTCATCCTGTTCGGCTAAGCCTGAAGCCATCAGGGCAGCTTTAGGAAGAAAAGCAGTTCCAGCCGGAGCCAGATTGAGCCTGCTAGGTTTAGGGAGGGGCAGTCTCTACCCTGGCTAGCAGGAGAAGCTTCCAGGACCCGTGTTGGAGACTCACAATGTCACCTGTGCTTACACCTGGGCCAGGGACTTGAGATGGCTCAGTCACAGGACTATAACTTTGGGGCCCAGCCTGGACTGAAACCATCAGGAGAGAAAAAGGCCTCAAGGGAGTGACCCTTTCCCTGGCCTGGTAGAGCTGCCACCACCCAAAGAACAAGGACAGAGCAGAGGGCATTTTGCAGAACAGAAAAGAGAGGATTCGGGCTGGGAAGGTGGCTCAGTGGTAGAGCGCTTACCTTGCATGCTCGAGGCCCTGGGTTCGATTCCTCAGCACCACATAAGCAAAAAGAAAAAAGCCAGAAGTGGTGCTGTGGCTCAAGTAGTAGAGCGCTAGCTTTGAGCTGAAGAGCTGAGGGACAGCGCCCAGGCCCAGAGTTCAGGCCCCACGACTGGACCCCCCCCAAAAAAAAAAAGAAAAGAAAAGAGAGGATTCCATGAAGTAGACACACAGGCCTTGCCACAGGGGAGGGATGGAGCGGTGTCATGGTACCTGCCATGGAAGGGCCACGGCTGCCAGTGAAACAAGTGTGGGCAGAGACCACTGGTAGGAGACTGGGACTGGGGAAGGAAAAGCAAATCCAGGTGCGGGGGAGTCTTTCTAGAACTGAATATCTCACTTGGCCAGTGAGAGAGAGAAAACAGCGTGTCTTGAGAAAGACATGGGCAAGTAACACTTTGGGGACACAGCCATCTCTGTGAGCAGGGCCAAGGGCAAAGACAGCAAGGCTAGGAGCCAAAGGTGAGGGCCTCCCCCGCCCAGTGCTGGCCAGCTGGGAGGGGAAGCACGTGCCAAGGCCTGAGAAGAACAGGAGGGTGGGGCTGCAGCCGCACCCCAGGCAAGCGGGAGGAGCTTGTCCAGGCTAAGGTGGGAGACACGAACTGTTGTCAGCTCTTGGCTCTGGAGGACAGGTCTTGGGGCCTCACTTAACAAGGCCACACCCTCACCTGGTTGTGACACCCTGTCTAAGCTGGAGTGTTCTAGCCATCTAAGAGACAATCTGGAAGCACAACTACAGCCCCTCCCCTTGTCTTGAATTTTCTGAGTTCTCCTTTTCCAAGTTTTTCTGAACATAAAGATAAAACTAAATTCTTCTCCAAGGTGTGACCTGGATGAGAGCCATCTCAGCTTCAGGCCACCTAGGAACCAATCATTTCTCTCTTGAGCTTTTGCCAGTGCTGGGCCTGCTGCCTGCAGAGTATCATGGAGCAGGGGCAGACAGTTGGGGGGGGGGAGCGTGGAGCGGAGGTAAAGGTCCACAGCCTGGCCTCTGGCTGGGGAGGATCAGGATGGGTTCCCCAAGGCTTGTTCCAGATCAGCCCTGTTCAAGCCTCACTCAGCCCTCACCCCAAACGGATCCTGAGCACTTTCAGGAGGCACATGAGAAAGAACTGTGTTTTTCCCTACACTGTGTGGGGGAACAGGGCCCATTCAGACCCCAGCGGGGCTAGAGGAGGCAGGGTAGTAGCTGAAGATGGGAGGTGCTAAGAGAGGTGAGCAGGATGGAGGATCCCAGCTGGGCACTTGTCGGTGGCTTGGCAGTCTGGTAGAGACTGCCCCGCCCTGGGGTCACTGGTTATCCCAGGAGAAGCTGGGCAGCTGGAGACAGGCTTGCGCCGCCTTCTCTGCAGACAGCACCATGAGCTTTGGAATTAGAATGAGCTGGGAACAAAGAGGAAGCTGCCATCCACCTGGCAGGGCTTTGTACTTCCAGCTCCAGCAGCCCAGTGGGGAAGGGGGAAAAATGGAGATGGAGTCAAGGGTCCTATGCCAGGAGTACAACTGGTAAGGCTCAGGGGGGAAGGCCCCTCCCCAACACAGCACCCCTTGCCTGCCCCAGCTGTTCCCACTCGCACAGATCCTCTGAAAGTATTTTGTTTTTTTTTTTTGGTCGACCGTGGGGCTTGAACTCTGGGCCTGGGCGCTGTCCCTCAGCTCTTCAGCTCAAGGCGAGCGCTCTACCACTTGAGCTACAGTGCCACTTCCGGTTTTCTGGTGGTTTATTGGAGATAAGAGTCTCATGGTCTCTCCTGCCCGGGCTGGCTTTGAACCG